GGTCCGGTGCACGCCCACAGATGCTGCTGGTGACCTTTTGACATGGCCAAAGTGGTTCTGGGGCCAAGGTCTTACATAAGGGCATCCCGCCAGTGTACATGCTTTCTTGAGCAAGAGCTTGGCATTCTTGCACTCCACTTCTGGCCAGGTGTTCTTGTGCAAAACCCCGCCAGTGTAAACATATCCTGAGTGCTGGGTTAAGTAGTGGGGGACCCTGAAGCTATATTGCTGAGCTGCTGGCGGAACAAAGCAGTTTGCGAGATGGCTGGAATGGCTCATGGGACGGCCGGTGGAGTGGAATGGAGTGGATTGCATTAAAGGCTGCAGCAGAACCCTATGGAGAGGGAGGAGGGGGGCTGTCAGCCTCAGACCATGTAAGGTGCCCCTTATCAGACGCCCACCCCCTTTTCTACCCAGGTTGGGAGGTAAAACTCTGCAGATTAACTCTTGAACTCTGGGGCAGCACTGACTAGGGACAGAGACTTTTGGGATGTTGTACTTTTGGGGACTTTGAGTGATTCTTGGGTGGGATGGGTCTTTGCTCATGTTTGGTCTATGAATCCGAGTTGTGGTGTTTTCCCAATTTAATGCTGAGGTCAGTTACCTCATGTTATTAAAGATTTGCTGCTCTACTGAGGCTCTGTGCTTGTGAGAGGGGAAGAATTGCCTCTTTGAGGCGCCCAGGGGTGTATGTAAGATTTCCCAGGTCACTGGGTGGGGGCTTGAGCCGGTGTTGCATTATGTGTTGGGAGGGGACCCCTAGGTACAGAACCCGGCCCTTGCTGCTTTAACCCCTGGCAGAAGGGTTACAATAGTAAGGGTGTTTCTAAACTACATCCCTTTTTCAATTAAGGGATATAGATTAGGCTTGTCAATATTGCAAATGAAGTGCGGTGTCGTACCTCGGTGTTTTCATACCTCAGTAGCTTCGGTGGTCTGTACTGTCAGTGTCAGCATCGTCTGGTCAGGGTTGTCCTGGCGCACTCCTGACAGGACCTCTACTCCGTCGGTGGTGATAAACTTTCGGCTGCGTGCGTAACAATCGGTACTCCCTTTATCTAGAGTGTTAGACCCCGTGCACTTGGGTCAACACAGGAGATCTCTGAGAGGCCCCGGAAACGACAGATGCAGGCCAGGTTTGAAATCAATCGAGCAGGTTTATTGTCAAATGTGAAGCTCTACCAGTTGGTAACAGAGATCAGTACAATGTTACACCACTGGGCCCCCACCCCCCCCCAAGGTCAGCCGGAGAGCACCCTCTGCGGTGTCCTTTTATAGACAGGTACAAACAACTTACATCACTTCTCTACGTACCAGGTTACCACCCTCTGTTGCCTAGTTATCAGCCCTCACCTTACGGAAGGGGTGATTACTTACTATCCTTCATGCTGTCAATTCCAACCTGGTCCTGAACCTAGGTCGGTATGTGTCTTAGTTTTTAGGGAGTCTCAGTATCAAGACATTTCTTATTAAGATGTTCCGTTACTCCCCTTTGGCTTATAGTCTGTACCCAGTGCCTCCCTGTGTCCTTCCATGCTCGACCTAACTTACACAATCACACAGTTATCAGTAGGGCCCCTTTCTTGGCTCCTGTTACTGAACCAAAGTCTTGCTCACTAGATTGCAAGCCTGTTGCTGTTTTCATGTTACAGGCCTTGGGCTGCTGACTCCGTATTACTGACCCTCAACTTACTACATACGGGATTTAAATATCCCTTGCTTCATTTGCCTAATGGCAGCTGCTGTTTTTTTTCAAAACAGGGCTTTTCTCTTAAAAAAATGGCAGTTTAGATGGGGATCTTTCTAAAATAAAACCCTTTTTTAAAAAATACTGTACTCCTCACATCACTAGTTGGCATCCTTATGTAGCTCCTCCTTAATGGTGTGGTTCATGAGTTCTACCTGCCCTGCAGACTGAGGATGGTATGGAACGTGCAACTGCTGTTCCACTCCCAGTAGACCACCAAGGTGACGCATGAGGGAGCTATGGAGAGCCGGCCCTCTGTCTGAATCAATTGTTCAAGGAACCCCCCTCCTGGTAAAAACCTGAGTAGTAAGTAGGGAAGCAGTGGTTTTAGCAGTTTGGCCCCAAGTAGGGAAGGTCTCCACCCATTTATTGAAAACCTCCACCAGAACAGGTCCCAGCCACAGCATGAACATGTTCCATTCCCGGGGCAGGGAGCCTACGAGAGAGTAGGATCCTCCCCATCAGTAGGAGCTTGAGGCACCTTGATGCGCGCAACAAAGCTGCAGCCTGCTGCATAGCATTGTGATCTTCCGTGCCAATCTCAACATGGTTCGTATCATAACAGGATAGGCGGGCTTTACAATGTGAATGGGGTCCTCACACTTGATGGGTGCAGAGAGTTGGGGAGCTAAGGGCGGGTAAAGAGGGGCAAGAAGCTCACTTTAAGGCATCTACTTGACCCTTCAGGGCCAGGTTTTCAGCTTTGAGATGATTGAAGTCATCCATATAGTTCTCAGCCATCCGGACTGCCAGCACACTCTGATGATTAACTGAGCTCTGCTTCTCAGCAATCTGCTGCAGCATTTCTACTTTACTTCTCAGAGTAGTAACCTCCTCCCGCAGGCCAGACAGACCCTCACACAGACCCTGCACTGCCCGGCCCTTTTCTTATTCTGGGAAATTTTGGACGCAAGAGAGGATTCAGCCCATCCCTGAATGGCCGACCAATCATAGAATCATAGAACACTAGGACTGGAAGGAACCTCGAGAGGTCATTGAGTCCAGTCCCCTGCCCTCATGGCAGGACCCAGCACTGTCTAGACCATCCCTGATAGACATTTATCTAACCTGCTCTTAAATATCTCCACAGATGGGGATTCCACAACCTCCCTGGGCAATTTATTCCAGTGTCTGCCCACCCTGACAGTTAGGAACTTTTTCCTAATGTCCAACCTGAACCTCCCTTGCTGCAGTTTAAGCCCATTGCTTCTTGTTCTATCCTCAGAGGCCAAGTTTTCTCCCTCCTTGTGACACCCTTTTAGATACCTGAAAACGGCTATCATGTCCCCTCTCAATATTCTCTTTTCTAAACTAAACAAACCCAATTCTTTCAGCCTTCTAGGTCATGTCCTCTAGACCTTTCATCATTCTTGTTGCTCTTCTCTGGACCCTCTCCAATTTCTCCACATCTTTCTTGAAATGCGGTGCCCAGAACTGGACACAATACTCCAACTGATGCCTAACTAGCGCAGAGTAGAGCGGAAGAATGACTTCTCGTGTCTTGCTCACAACACACCTGTTAATGCATCCCAGAATCATATTTGCTTTTTTGCAAGAGCATCACACTGCTGACTCATATTCAGCTTGTGGTCCACTATAACTTCTAGATCCCTTTCTGCCATACTCTGTCCCAGACAGTCGCTTCCCATTCTGTGTGTGTGAAACTGATTGTTCCTTCCTAAGTGGAGCACTTTGCATTTGTCTTTATTAAACTTCATCCTGTTTACCTGAGACCATTTCTCCAACTTGTCCAGATCATTTTGAATTATGACCCTATCCTCCAGATTAGTCGCAACCCCTCCCAGCTTGGTATCATCTGCAAACTTAATAAGCGTACTTTCCATGCCAATATCTAAATCGTTGATGAAGATATTGAACAGAGCCAGTCCCAAACAATGTTGATGCTCCTCCATGGGACACTCATAAGGTCCCCTCCATGCCTCTACCAACTGGTTAATAAAATCCCTAACAGTTGTTGCAGCAAAGAACCCAGCAGAGACACCCATGTGACCCATGACGTCATGATGATCAGGCATAAAACTCCCCTGGGATCCTGTTCATGACGCCAGATGTTAGAGAAGAAACAAGCAACCCAGGAGCAGATGGGGCAAACAGAACCACTTTATTGTCCACACACATTTACCCTGGACATTCAACACAACGTCCAAGTGGCAACAAATTGGCACCAATTACACCCTTCTTTCTATTTTAGAATGTTAATTCACAAGTCTATTACTCTTTTCCCTAAAATCTTAATGAGTAATGTTAACTCCCATAAAATTAATATGAATAAGCAAATAATGAATATGATTATACCCACCCCTAATTACTATTTACAGAATTGCTAATTAAATCAATACTTTCATACACTACACATTTTTAAAACAACAGGTTACAGAAATTAGAAGGAATTTGACTCTGAAGATGTTTTATACAGAGCCAATGAGCATAAGCAAGAGAGACAACAAAATTAAGCCTCTCCATACTTATCTGGTTCCCTGAGCTACAAGAAGGAAGGGAAAGCATGAAGGGAAAGAACATGTTCATACATCAGAAAGGATAAAATTGGTTTTGACCGAACTCTTAATTTATCTTCACAAATTAGAAGGAATTTGACTCTGAAGATGTTTTATACAGAGCCAATGAGCATAAGCAAGAGAGACAACAAAATTAAGCCTCTCCATACTTATCTGGTTCCCTGAGCTACAAGAAGGAAGGGAAAGCATGAAGGGAAAGAACATGTTCATACATCAGAAAGGATAAAATTGGTTTTGACCGAACTCTTAATTTATCTTCACAAACGGGTTACCTGTGCCTCGTGAAACCAGGTTTACCTGTGCCGATCAAGAAAGGCTTCTTTGTCGGCGCGTCGCGTCCAGACTGCCCCGATCTGCCGACAAACAGCTGATCGGCAGAGCGGGGCAGCCATTTAAATTTAAATGAAGCCGCGATTATTTTAATCGCGGCTTCATTTCCCTCTGCCGATCTGGCTAATCTACATGCCTCCGTCGACGGAGGCATGTAGTCTAGACACACCCTAAGATATTTTTCTATTACAGCATAATATGAAATTGATACTAATGGATGTTTCTATTCATGCTTACTGAGTTGCCCCGTGCTGCCATGGCTGTGAGGTTAGCAGAAGAACAAGGTGTGCTCTTTCAACACAATACAGTCCCAGTGGGTGAATCTTTATTAATTACACGTCAGGTTCAATCACTGGGGAAAATGCAAACAAGCACAATTCATTCACCACCAGTTCCACACACTGTTAACACCCCAGCTCCAGTATGAACGTATTGACTCATACACACTCCAAAACATATTAATGATGATATTACTAGTTTCAGCTTCTTCTCTGATTCGCCTTTGTTTTTCCTCATAACATTTCCACATTCCTCCCAGTTCTTCCAGCAGCTCTTGCTTCTTGGCCTCCAGTTCTTTTTGTTTCAAGTGCTTGAGCTGCAGTAAAGCAGCTTCTCTGTCCTTCTCCTGGTTTTTGAGTTTTTCCTTTAGTTCCTCTTCTTTCAGATCAGACTCTTTCTTTATCCTGTCGCAGTTCTCCGTAAAGCGCTGAAGTATTTCTGCTCTCTTCCTTCCCATCTCTTCCTTGTACTGGTGCTGCAAATCTCGCATTTTGGATTGGAGCTGCTCCTCCACATATTGATATAACTTGTTTGTATATCGGCCTCCGTTCTCCTGCACCAGCGTCTCCACCATGCCCATCAGCTCTTCGACCTGGGCATCCCGCTCTTCATCGGTGGCTTTGTTGTTGAAGGTGCAGTATCGGCCCCCGCATGCAGTGACCAGCCTGTGCAGATCGCTGTTGGATTGGTGGGTCACATAGTCACTCAGTGAGCCGCCCCCTAAATCTTCCTTTCGGGTGAATAAAACGATGACGTGCTTCATTACCTCAGCTCCAAAAATCCCCTGCACTCGCTGGGACCAGCCTGTGCAGATCGCTGTTGGATTGGTGGGTCACATAGTCACTCAGTGAGCCGCCCCCTAAATCTTCCTTTCGGGTGAATAAAACGATGACGTGCTTCATTACCTCAGCTCCAAAAATCCCCTGCACTCGCTGGGCTGCGTCCTCGTCTTCTGCAGTGTAACGGCCCAGCTGGGTCACCAGCACCAGTGCGTGGGGGCCTGGGGTGGAGAGCACCACACAGCGGCCGATCTCCCGGGGC